GTCCAATCCCAGAGGGTCTGAGCAAGTAGGGACTGAGCTTAAATCAGAGGACTTGGGCTTCCACATGCCCGCCAAATCATAATAATAACAATAATAACATACTACTACTAATGCTTGTGCTACATTTGGAGCTTGAAATGATCAGCGACATTTCCCTGATGAGGTTAAACAGCCTGGCTCGGGGACCGCACATTTGCATAATAAAGATCAGAAGTCACTGCCTTCTACATCTCTCCCAGCACTGGCCGCCTGGTGTCCTTGATTCAGGGACACCACATCCTAATGTACTTCCATATGCGGTCCTGTGCAGTGATTCTAATCTTTGGCTTGCATGTGAAATGTCAGCTTTTTTTTTCGTCTGGGAGAACAACAAATTATGTTTTTAAATGAGAAGGTGCCGCCTGTAATGGATAATATAATCTGAAAATGCAGAGGCAACATCTGTGACCCATGGTGCTAACCTAGCAAGCTCTAGTCTACTTTTCCTGCCTATCGGTTGATAGGAAAATATCACTTTCGATATAATAATTAATCATTAGTCAAAATGGATATCCCCATTGGTTCCTTGCCTCTCAGACAATCCTGCATAGCTTGACAATAAATCAGGGAAATACAGTCTTTAATATCCAATGGAATGTACTTCCAGGCACCCTCTTTCCTATATAAAGCAACAAAACACTTTGCAGAAGCCATCTATCATCAGATGAGGGGGGAAGATGCTCCCAAGATGCCATTTGAAGGAAGGAAAATGCAGAGCCCACAGCAAGGAAGGCAGTGAGTTCAAGATGGTGGCTGTAAACCAATGAGAAACATCTCCTTGCCATGGTGGGCTCCTACCTAGGATAATGACTGCCCCTCCCTCCCTTGCTGTCCCTCCTCCCTTTGGCCCACTTCTGGGGCCCTGTCACAGCCTGGCAGGTCATGCCCAGGCCTCACTCACTATGACTGACCAGTCCCCAGTGTCCTATCATCCTCCTCATTCCCAGGGTGGCTGTAAAGTAATCATTCCAGGCCATTTTTCTGCTTGATTCTTGGCTCTCTCTGGATCTGTTGAAATATTTACAATACCTAACATGATCCAAGAGAATAAATGAGCTGCCAAGTATGGTGGAAGGAAAAGCAGATTTGGAAGTCAGGGTGGGTCGGAGGAATCTGAGGACTCCCCTAGACTTACTGGTTGTTGGACTGACCTCTCCGTGGCCTTGTTCTCCTCATCTGAAGAAGGCGTTGTTCATGGTTTCCAATCCCTGTTTGTTGGAGCCCTGAGTTTCTGAGGCAATGGGCAAAAGGGAGGCTGGGAGAAGGAAACAGGAGGGGAAGATATTCCCAAACCTCCCCTAGAGCATTTATCTTTTATTGGTTTACTGACTTGGTTTTTAAAAACCACTGAGTCAGAAGACCTGTAAAGGCACTCCAATTTGTAAACCCTATAGTTCTCCATCTCAGTACTGCCCACTTCATCCCTGGGTGTAGAAATCATGTGGGAAATGCCACTTCAGCTTGGGGCCTATAGTCACATGCCTTATGTTCTAGACCAATGGTTCCCCAACAGGGGTAATTTTGCCCTCCAGGGGACATTTGTCAATGTCTGGAGACATTTTTGGTTTTACAGCTGGGGAGGAGGGAGCTACTGGCATTGAGTAGAGGCCAGGGATGCTACTAAACATCCTACAATGCACAGGACAGTCCCCCAAAATAAGCAATATCCCAGATGGTGACAGCATGGAGGTTGAGAAACCCTGTGACAGATGATGTGACCTGAAGAAAGCTGCCCATGGGGAGCTTCAGAGTTGGAAAGACTCTGCTCAGCCTTCCGTCTGCCCCAGCGCAGATCGAGAGGGAAGTCCATTCTTGGTTCTTCCCTGCTGACAACTCCCGGGAGCCTCGGACCTGAGACATAAGAGCATTTCCTGCACTGAGGACAGTCACCCATAGACTCTTTTAAATTCACCTCTAGGAGGGAAACTTACATTGCCTGATTCCCACGTGCTCTGGAGCTACTCAAGGTGCCATATATTCAACTTTAATCTACACTAAGAGCTGGTGATAGTAACATGGGTATTGAACTTTTCACTTACAAATGTAACACATACCTACTGATTACTTACTATGTCCTAGGAATAGTGGACTCCAAGTTATGTACTAGGAATACAGCAGTGAACAAAACAAAGTCCTTGTCTTTATGAAGGATCTGTGTCTGGGGAAGGCAGAAAATAAATACAGATAAATATATGACTCAAGTGGTTATAAGTGCTATCAATATTATTAAACAGTATAGAAGCCTAGGTTGATTAGAGGTTGCAATGGTCAGGAGAAGGCCCTCTGCTGAGGCAGCACTGGAAGCAAGTTGTGAAGGCTGGGTGCCTGGGGGAACAGCGTTCCAGACAACAGGAGAGCAAGGGAGCTGCACAGAGCTTCCTGGAGGGCTCAGAGCAGCACAGTGAACACGCAGGAAGAGGGCAATGTCAGAGGGCCAGCTCTCACAGGACACAGTCAGCCCAATCAGATGTCCATATTTTATTCTGAGAGAGATGGAAAACCATTAGGGAATTCAGAGACAGCGACATGAACTGATTTATGTTTTGAAAGCAAAAAATCTCCGGAAAACATCTGACAGGCTATAGTTGTCCTTGTGGCCTCAATCGTCATGGATAGAACAGAAGTCTCAAAACGCTTCCATTTTCTTTTTGCATTTAAAGAGCAAAACAAACAAACAAACAAAACGCTAGTCTTCCTTTTATCACAAATGCCATCCTGATATGATAAACCGGGAGCCAGAGATGACCACCCCCGGTTTTGCACCACGCCAGGGCAGATGGAGCGAGCGCTCAGAATACTGTAAGTCTGCAGAAGATCTCAAGTTTAATAAAACAAATTAATGCAAATTAACTTCACTTGAATAAAAGAAGTTTCTTGCCACTTTTAGAAGAGGGACAGGCTGGAGTGAAATAAAATCAGAACACACAGTCTGTGTCCCAGAAAGGCTAGGATCACTGATTAATATCGGAAGTCTGAGACAGGGAGAGGACATAGCCATCACCTGAAATTTATTCATAAATTGCCAGCCCTTCCCAGATAACTTGCAAATAAAGTGTGACACATGTCTAAACATTTACTGGCTTGCTGACTTTTTTTTTTTTTTTTGCTAATTAGAATTTTTTTTTTAAGGAAAACAAACAGCGTTAACAGCAAATTAATGCAGAGAGCCTCAACAGTGGGACAGCAAGACAACCCTACAGTCAAATATTAAGTTGTACTTTACCAAAATTGTATCTATGGGAAAAAATTAATTGGAAATATCAGAAATGGTCTCTGAATGTAAAAAGATTAAGGCTACCCTACCCATGGTGTGTAGTTATTAAATTAGCACAATAGATACAAAAGCATTTGTTTAAAATATAAAGAGTTTTCAGCAATTATTTATCCATCATTTTTCCTCAAATGTGTGTTTAGCCCCATACCGTCCTTCCTCCAAGAAGAGGTTGGATGAGCAATTTTGTAGCTGTTTCAACAAAACGAAAAAGCTATTTTAACATGTTGTATTTGAGTCCTTTCTCCTTTTTTTTTTTTTTTTTTTTTTTTAACTTTTAATGGCTTTGCGCTTTAGTAAGAGCCTTCACGTTAAGCTAACACTTCCTACTCATTCCCCTCTGGGGCTTCTCTGAAGCTTAGAGGACGGACCTTCACGATCACTTATGTAGTTTGAGTATAGGCCTATGGACTCCAGCTGCCCTGGCCAAAAAAGAGTCTAGTCAGAATGTTGCAGCAAAAAAATATCTGATACATGGTAGGAATTGTAGCCAATGACTGCCATGACAACTCATGTGGACTTCAAGTGGCTGAGCCAGGGAAGTGAGGTGGGAAGGTTGCTTCAAGAGAAGTTGTCAGCCGGACGCAGTGGCTCACGCCTGTAATCCCAGCACTTTGGGAGGCCGAGGTGGATGGATAACAAGGTCAAGAGATAAAGACCATCTTGGTCAGCATGGTGAAACCCTGTTTGTACTAAAAATACAAAAATTAGCTGGATGCAGTGGTGTGTGCCTGTAGTCCCAGCTACTCAGGAGGCTGAGGCAAGAGAATCGCTTGAACACAGGAGGCAGAGGTTGCAGTGAGCCGAGGCCGCACCACTGCACTCTAGTCTGGTGACAGAGCGAGACTCCATCTCAAAAAAAAAAAAAAGAAGAGGAGAATTTGTCATAGAAAGAAAGTGACTTTTTTTTCCTGATCACAGAATTTCTCTAAATGGACTACACGTAAAGACAGTGTTGCAGCTTCAGGATAACATTAATGACAATGGCATGTCAGTTTGGTTACAGATAGCTAAATATTGTGTATGCATTCAATCTTTACATCAACCAAAAAAGCGGAATGATTTTGTGATGTTCTTTTCTCTGATGAGGAAGAGGAGGCTCAGAGATCTGGCTAACCCTTCTGCATCACTTTACTGTTTTGTGTAAGCTGGAAGTCCAACTGGAGAAGAGAAAATACCTGATCCTGAAATCTGGAGACTCCTCTCACCTCCCTCATCTCCCAGGGATGAATGGCGTCTCTTCAAGTCTCACACAATCCCCCCATGGCAGGTCAGCAGTCTAAGAATAAGGGAAAGTGAATTAAAGATGGCTGCAAATCCTCTGTCACTTCTCCCATCAAAAAGTGAAATCAATTGCCCTTCCTTTTGAATAATGAGAGTTGGTCCTGTGACTCACTATGACCACTTCCAAGGTTAGGTCTTAAGAGACATGCAGTCTTTGGTTTTGTGTGCTTGGCACACTTCCTCTTGGAACTCAGCCACCATATGGCATAAGAAGACACAAAGAACAGAACCATATTGCTTCCCACATTCTTCAGCAGCCCCATTTGGGCCCTTGGCTGGCAGCGAACACCAACTGCAAGCCATGTGAGGGAGTCAACTAGGCTGTCCCAGCCCATTCAATAACATCAAAAGCAGAAGAACTGACCAGCTGAGCCCAGGCAACCCCAGAATGGTGAAAGATGATCAATGGTGGTGGTGGTGATTTTATTTTCAACTACTAAGCTTGAAAGTAATCTGTTCACATCAACAGATAAGCGAAACAGTCTGTTTACATAGGAAAATTCTCTCTTAGACAGAAAAGATCTAAAAAATGTTGTATACATGATGAATCTGGCTCTGATGTGATGTGGCCAGATGAGAGCTCTCCACTAATGGGGTCCCTTGTTTGCTTCTCGGGGAGGACATCTTTTAGAGGGCATCCCTAGGCATGCAGAAGGGATATCTATGGCCTTATTAGAGTACAGTACATTTCTTTCTTTCCACAGCATTCCTAGAACACTTTCATTTGTGAATGCACAAATTACCTAGGTCTCCATGCATCTAATGACTGAAGCCAGGGAACAGAGCTATCTAGCCCAGAATCCAGGAGGAGACAGTCTTGGAATTGATGACCAATGAGCTAAAGGGAGGTATGGAAAAAGCAGGAGCTGTCTCTTTCCTGAACACCCAATTTTTAAAAATTGTTAAATTGAGATGTAAGGAAAGCCTCACTCTCCTTGGAAAGTTACTGCACTTATTCCTCATTAAATTTTTGTGAGGGTTAAATGTGAAGATATATGCAAACTTCTTAGCACAGTTTCTGTATGAATTAGGTGTTCAATAAACAAATATCCTTTCCAAATTTGTAGTGATTTTTGTTTCTGCATTAAAATGAATGGTGACTCTATACTAAGTTTCACTCTGAAAAGGCAGCCGATTCCAATGTGCTATATTAGGTGAGCATATTTAAGAGTTACATTCAGATCTGTTGTTTTGACCTCAGATAGTATCTGTGGAGCCACTGTTAAATCAAAGTAATCTTCATAAGGTTATGAGATCAGATAGATGACCTTCGTCCATGAAGCTTTCTGCCTGATATTCCCTGAAAAGACAAGTAAAGACTGTTCTTCAAACTGTGCTGGTATAATAACGTTTTTCAGCCTGACCTCTGGCAAAAGGCAATATGTCTGCTAGCTGCTGGAATACACGAATCTTTCCATCAAGTGTAAATGGATGGGAGGTCTCAGATCCATTTACACCTGATGAAGAGGCTTGCTTACCCCACTCTGGTGTTTATGGCCTTGTGTTGCATGTATATGTTTTCCTAAAGATGTGTTCAATCAAGCTCTCAAAAACTTTCCTGACTTTGGATCAATTTCCATAGCGATTTGCCAGGCTGCTGAGTTGCCCAGAAGACCAGACACCCTTGCATTCACCTAGCCATCCAAATCAGAACTCTAGCAAGTTGTTGAATTCTAGTTTTGAAAAGAAAACTTATTTGGGGGTGGTTTAGGAAGGCAAAGTGAGAGCTGCAGTTCTTTTTCTTGCAGGAGACACAACCCAACATTACTTTTTTCCCCAAAGAGTTAGAAGAGATGAGGCTGAGACACTAAGGAGGGACAGCATTTCTATTTCTATGGCTTCCTTAAGGCAACAGAGGAAGCTTAGCGGCCACAGGGGTCTAGTTAATGAGCGGGTTATACAATATTCATTGTGTTGAGTTTAAGTCTTCAAACAGAACGTCTAATTGCAAAAAGAAAAAAGGAAGCTCAATTACAGATGTTAAGACAACAAAGCTCAGAAATAACTCCCTCTGTTGATGAAACTGTCCTCTCCCGGCTTCCTCCATGAACTGCACATTGACAGAGGCACAATGAGTCCCTGTCTTCATCAGGTATTCTCATTAGGTCTGCTCTGTCTGGGACACTCTCCAGGGCCCAAGGAGGGCCACTGAGAGGTCTGGGGTGATGGTCTTCTCAGAGGACTGTTTTCTTGCTACCCACAGAAGGAGTGATCCAGTTGTACTCTGCTTGAACCAGAACAAAACTGTTCTCCCCAATCTTCCTGATGTGCACAGTCTCACCGCTGTCGCTCCTGGCAACAGCATCCGAAGCGGGCTCGCCGAAGGACACTTCTGTCTGCTGGTGGCAATACTGGGTGTGCAGGTAGCGAAGGCCAGCAGCCAGGGCCATGCCCAGGATGGCTGACAGGCAAAGCAGAACTCCCAGCTGGGGAGTTCTGAGCTGGATCCCCAGAGGGGCCTGGGCCCCCTCTAGCCCAGCGTCAGGCCGTGAGTTGGTCTGCTGAGGGTATCCCACTCCACCCTCTCCATCTCCCTTCCCTGCTCTGAGCTCCTCGTGCTTTGACTGAAGTAAGAAGCTGGCAGAGGCCCTGGATGCCTCTGACTGGTCACCAGTAGTAGGTAGCCCAGAAGTACCAGAGGTCTGGAGGACAGCGGTTGGGTTGCTTGCCCCTGCCCCATTCCCTGAGAAAGTTTCAGAGGACCAGAGGCGCCAGGGATGGGTAAGCTGGACGGTGTACAGAGGAGGCTGTGTCACGGTCCTGTTAGAGGCCTTCATCTTGTCCTAGAAAAACAAAGGAAAAAAAGAGTCAAAGGTACTGGTCTTCCTCCTAAGCTGCCACTGAACTTTGTAACTAACTGGGGTTCCTTAAAGACTCCCAGGCGGCAGCTGAAAACCCAATCTCTTTCTTGCTACTAAAGGAGCTCAAAGTAAAATGCCCAACTAGATACAAATGCACTTGTTATTGGTGGGGATGGGGTGGCTAATGGAAACCCCACAGAGAACAAGGAAGCCAGTTACAAGAACAAGCTAAGGATCCTTTAAGAGGCTTCCAAACCAAAATATCAATGGGTGATTGCATCATCTTCTATGGCTGAAAGCTTCTAGTGTGTCTTTTTATGATAGGACCCCTGCAAGAGGGACCATTTAACCTCACTGTAGGTTCTGATAAATATAAGTAAGAATATTACACCATGTTTTATTTTGTGTTCCTTCTAAGACTTCAAAGGAATAGTAAATCAGTGGGCATTTATATTTTATATTGCCCATTGATCTAACTTCTGGGACCATACATGGTGCTTTGAGGTCAATGTTATGAAGGAGGGATGGAGGAGGAGAGAAGAGAGTAATTATTAACTATGGCTAAGTGAGAAGACAAATCACTAAAACATCAATTTCTACAATTGCCGATCACTTCAGAGACACTGCATATAATGGAAAGGTATTGATTAGTAGAAAGACACTGTGTGTATATTATACTTTGGCTTCTTCTCTCTGACTTTATCTATCAGTCTAGTAGCTCTGATTTCCCAGCCTGAAACTGGCCAGTCTAGGATCAGAAGATCAGTCGCAAGCCCTCTTCACAGTTTAGGTTCTTACCTGTTCACCCCCAACTGAGGATAGGCACGTTTCCAGTGAATCAAAGCTGGGATCATCCTGAGATCTAAAGGGAAGAATGGAAGGGCTGAAAACAGGTCATTAAGTTTTGGACCAAAAGCAATGTTTCCTACCATTGTTGTGTATGCAGATGGCATCAGATCCACTTGAAAAACTTCTGAGTTTGGAGTTGGGAACCACAGAGAAGAGGAAGGGGAGAGATAAGTGAGAATGGCGGCAAAGAACTCACCAAATGTTATCGCTTATTATTTTATATAAAATATACATTTCTATATTGTCATTATAAATATATTTAAAATATAAAAAGTCACTTTTAAAGTTTTGTTTTATTTATAACAGCATCTCAGAGATCTCACCCCATCCAAGAGAATAATTTTCCTGGGTAATTGTCATACGCAGTCCTTCAGACCAGTGGCCCTGTTACAACCTGGGTTTTTCACACACTTAAGAATAAATATGGCTGAGATCTTCTTTGTCAGACGCCAAATGATGCACTCCAGTGTTCAGCCTAGTCCCATCACCCGTCCTGAATGGCCCACCCATCACCCTTACCTGTGATGGATGCTAAGTCTGGAAGCAAAGCTCTCTGAGGAGACTCTCTTGAGGGCCATGAGCCTCTCCAGCCTGTGGACCTCCAGGGACGGCTCTAGAGTCGGATTGCTGTCCATGCTGAGTTGCTGGTCGATGCTGCCTTCAGTGGCTGTGTGTGAAGATGGTTGGGACAGAGTCTCTGCATCCCCAGGAGACTCTGTCACCCAAATACTGGCAGGAACAGGATCTAGGTTGTCCTCCTCTGCAGCTCCAGGAAGGGCAACAGCAAAGACATGTGTGTGCTTCTGTGGAAGAGTGATGGGGGCCCTGGGAGCTAAGCAGAGGTCCAAAGACAGTGCAGAGAGAGTGAGAGCATTTTCCCCGTATCGATTGGTACAAACAGATATGATCGGGGGTAAACAGCAGAGACTCTAATGTTCCTCAAGGAGAGACCATTAAGTGTAAGGCACTTAAAAGTGTCAGCATACAGATGACCTGCCTGATCACACAAGCCCCTGACCACGCAAGGGCTTATATCTTTTTAGAGAGTGAGTCCCTGGCCTGTCTGGGCTTGTACCTTCTTAACAGCCACCGTTCAGGGAATGCAGAATGCACTGTGACCACCGTATTTATTTCACCTCTACCAAAAACTGCTTCTAGCTAGAAAAAAGAGTGGAATCCCACAAATCAGACTTTTCAAAGCCCTAGATCTTTCTTGCCCTATTATTAACACTCAAAGTTTCTTTCCCTGGTGATAATAACTTGAACATCTGCTATGAGCAGAGACAAGATCACTGCCCTCCACTGCCCTCCACCATCTCATTTCCCATTTGTGACTAGCTAACCTGACAGCCCAGAGTATGAGAAAGAGCTTCACACAGAGCAGCAAGCAAGCAAGTGCAGGTTGTAGAGTCAGACTCTTGTCTGGGTTCAGTCCTCCACTAATTCCTGGCTTTGGGGAAGTCCTCCCAGAGCATTAGTTTCTTCATTTGCAAAATGAGGCCAGCATAGAATTGCTGAGGGTTTGACATGAATTCATTGATGGGGAAGCGTGAAGCAGGTGCCTGGCACACAGGCACAGGCAACATGCACAGAGGGTTTACCATAATGATGATGAGGATGACATGATGGCATTGACCAAAACAGTGTTGACAGAAGTTTCTCTGGCAAGGGCTCCAGGTTCTTTCATGGGGGTGAAGGAGGTACCCCTTTGCTCCAATATTTTTAACACTCAAAAACGTTGAAGTGAAGAACAAAGCAGCCTAGCCCAGACATACAAAACATGGCAAACTGATAGTTTCAAATTCCTTCTTGAACTCTAAGAGCATTTGGATATTTCCTGCAGACCCACTGCGTGCTGGGCATTGTTAGAGTTGTTGGAGATGCAAACATAATGCAGACTTGTAACTGGTGTCCCTGAACTCAAAACTGGGAAGAGACACCCTTACATGTCAAACTACCTAAATTAATACAAGAGGCCGGGTGCTCACGCCTGTAATCCCAGCACTTTGGCAGGCCATGGCAAGCAGATCACCTAAGGTCAGGAGTTCAAGACCAGCCTGGTCAACATGGGGAAACTGTGTCTCTCTACTAAAAATACCAAAGTTAGCAGGATGCAGTGGCGCATGCCTGTAATTCCAAGCTACTTGGGAGGCTGAGGCAGGAGAATCATTTGAACCCTGGAGGTGGAGGTTGCAGTGAGCTGAGACCGCACCACTGCACTCCAGCCTGGGTAACAGAGAGAGACTGTGTCTCAAAATTAATTAATGAATTAATTAATCAATTAATACTAGAGCTAAGGAAGCAATTATACTTGCCGCTATGGTCTTAATATGTCCCCCTCAAAATTCACATGTTGAAATCAAACTCCCAGTGCAATAGTGTAAAGAGGTGGGGTTTTTAGCAGGTACTTAAGTCATGAGGGTGGAGCCCTCATGAATGGGATTAGTAGCCTTATAAAAGGGGACTGAGGGAGCTTGTTCACCCCTTCCACCATGTGAAGACACAGCAAGAACGTGCCATTGTTGAGGCACAGATCATCCCTCCCTCACCAGACACTTAATCTGTTGGTGCCTTCATCTTGGACTTCCCAACCTCCAGATAGTAGGCAATACGTTTCTATTGTTTATAAATTATTCAGTCTAGGATGTTTTGTTATAGCAGCTGGAATAGACTAAGACACTTGCCTACCAAGAAATATCAGGAAAAGTTTCACAAAGGAGATATTTGAACTGTACCTTGCAAGATGCAGAGAATTGTCATGTGGAACAGTCCAGTTTGAGGAAGTGTCAGAAGGGAAGGGACTGAAATATAAAGGTAGACCATACCTAATGGGGTGGAGGAGGACCCAAAGTGTCTTGGTCTATTGGGAGATAAGTTTCAGATATACAATATACTACTTTCCCAATTTTGAAAATTTATAATTTATACTTGCCTACTGAATCCTTTGTACAGTTAAGAAATCTATTTCACTTTATTAGATGAAATAAGGTGAATAGATTTCTTAACTGTACAAAGATAAACTTCCCAGGATACATACACACACACACACGCACATGCACATACATACACACATGCACACACATGCATACATACACGTTTCTTTTTCCTTTGGGAATCACTAGGGTTTGGGCACTGGAACGAATGGGGAAGACAGGCTGGGGCCAGAAGGAGAGGAATGTGGGCAATGTAATGAGGAGGTTACCCTGTAAACTGCTTGGGCTGGAAGCTGTGGCCCCTAGTGGGCAAGGTTTCCAGCAGAGTCAGGCATAGAAAGGCCCAAGGCTACACATGACACTTCTTCCTGAAACTTCAGTTTTATTCATATTCATGTTCAAACAAACGTGGTTATACTTGGGATTAAAACATGACATTTGCATCATTCATAAAACAAAACACGAGATTTGAAACATATGTCAGAGGTGCAGGGTCTTCTCCAGGCCACACTCTCAGGCTCTGAGATCTTTAGTCTGCTTTTAGGAGTGTCTTGGTGGGAGGGTTGGAGGAGTTGTGCTGGGTAATGGGAGAAGACAAAGGTTTTGGGGCAAAGACAGAGAATGGAGGGTGGTCCCCACTGTTTCTGTACCTGGGTCTGCTCGACTGAGAAGAGGCAGAGATTCTGACTGGATTCTGGCCTTAACATATTAGCAAAGAATAAAGGAAAGAATAAAGGAAGAGGAGAACGAATGGATTAAGGGTAGAGTCTTGTGTGCATGTGCCTGGATGCTTTTACGAGTGCTTGTGTTCATAGAACTTAACTAGAAATAAGCAATAAAACACCAGGGATTTTCAGGTAGGTCAAACAGCCTCTAGCTGGCTAGAGGTTTTCCTTTGTTTTATTTCTTTTCTTTTCTTTTTTCAGGAGTTCATGGACTAATGGAATATAAAGCCATGTAGTGAGCAAGGAAAAATCCCTTCCCATTGAAACAGTGATTCCTGATTCTGTTCTCCAACCCAGGTTGCAAAGAGCCATCTACCTACCATGAAAAGTAACAATGAAAACTGGATGCGTTTTTATGAGAAAAGACGAAGAAAAGCTCATTTCTTTTTTGTGCTCCCTGTGTAGCTTCAGGGGACTAAGGAAAACAGCGGAAATATTGTGAGGACTAGTAAATGTGGGGGAAGAGGTGTATGCTGTTTTTTGGTATTGCAGCACAGCTCCCACTGTCCACCCCGGGGCCTGACTTAATGTGTTAGGTTAAGCCAGACAAAGTGTGTTTGCTGCAACAAACAAAGCAACTGCAAGCGTTCCCTCCCTCTCACTGCTGCGTTATCACATCCCCAGGAACTGCTGCAGTTGGCCACGGCAGGTGTTTATTACTTGTTTTGCAGGGACAGGAAACTGGCAGTAGTAACTTTTAAGTGAAAATAGATAACTGTAAAAATAATGATGACAACCAGCCTGGCAAATACAATGACAAGTTGTACCTGGGGCAGCTCCTTCAACATCTCCCAGCCTCTGGTGAAGGGTTGGCATCAATAATCTGGGCTCCATGTGGTCATCAGAATGGGCACTGCTATGTGTCTGTTGAGACACAACAGATGATTCAATCCTTGCCCAGTAAACGAAATATGACTGGACTACTGATAAACTGCGGAAAGAGAAAGAGCAGAGTGGTTCACGGATTTAGTTTCCTTTAAATAATAACTCAGGCCAGCCTCATAGAAAAGAGAGAACACACTAACAGATAAACAGGAACAAAACAAATAAATAGAAGAATGAGAGAGAGATTATGTTATTACTTCAGGAATGAAAAGTGACTTCATTCTTTTTAAAAACAAAAACCCTACAGTTGCAAATAATTAGAATAGGAGAGGATATGAACAAATCAATGGTCCTCTTGAATAAATACAGTCACTAAAAATCTCATTTTAACTAAAAAGTTTCTCCTTAAACTGTTTAGACTCCAATAAAAGGTTTTATTGTCAATGTTATTATTAGCCATTCCTGATATACTGTTATTACATCATGATTTGAAGATCTCATAATTCTGTTGTATAATTGTACATGTCTATTGTCATTGTAGATTCTATTGGAAATTAGAAACAAATCCTTAATATTCTAAATAATTTTTTGAAAAATAATTCTTCAGTAAAAATCAGTTTCACAAACATTATGCCATTTGTTCTTCCAAATATTTCAGTAAAGGCGGGATTATTGGCAAGCATCATTTTTCCCACTTTAAGTATTCAGGAGGCAGTCATAACAAGGCGATTAATTTGGCCGAGGTCACCCAGAGGCTCAAGACTCAGTGAAAGTCATAGTTCAGGCCCCCAACATGCGGTTTCCAGACTTGGCGGATGTTATCGTGCGCGAGGGTTCCCAGAGGTGGGAGATCACAGGGCGACTTAGGACAGGCACCTCATCAAGTGACTTAGCTCGTTTTTTTCTGTCAAATGGAGATCATAGCTTCTACACTACTTGCTATGCGGCATGCAGCAGCTATGATGGTAAATCCAAAAATAGGAAAGGAGGTGCTTTGAGAAAGAAAGGTGACTGTACAGATTTAAGGACTTCAAGTGTCAGACACCCTCTGTACTGCATGAGAACCAAAACCAAGGGCAGAAGCTGGACATACCCACGGGTAAGTGGGCCCTGGGCCTTCCAAAGAGGAAAAATCCTAAGGCACATGTTTCCCTTCTTACTGTCCTGTCTGCTGCCCTGTGCCACCAGGAAGTGGGGGAGAAGGGACACCACAGACTGGGGCCACCAACCTCCTCTCCCACTGCTCCCCAGAGCAGAGGGGAGTCCTGGGGGTAAGCACATGCCCTGGATGACCTCTGCCTGCAGACACAATCTCCTTCATATTTAGGAGGGTGTGGGGAAAAGAAACAGAAACACATACTCTTTCCTGAAAGAAAAAAATTATCTTTCTTGGTAAATGCAAGTGTCTGAAAAGAATGACAAAACAAGTACCTCATTTTGAGTAGTAATGATGCTTTTAAAGTGCTTACTGTTGCCAGGAACTGTTCTGAGCAAACATAGGCTATTTCATCCATACACAACCCTCTGATGGAGGTGCTGTGGTTATGCCCATTTATAGACAACAAGCCAAGGCACAGAGCCTCAAGAGGCTTTTCCTGGTCCCAGGGACGTGTCCATTTGTCCATCTGCCTGTCTCTTTCTTGGCTCTCTCCTGCCTTCACACCGCCAGCCCTTCTGTCCTCTGGTCAGAAATTCCTGGAGAGGTTGGCCAAGATTTACCTGTGCCTGGGGAGGCAGGGAGATAATATGGATAGTGCTGAAGGGATGAGTTTGGGGGCAACATGTTTTTCAGTTCCCCTCTGCATAGGCTCTCCAGTTGAGGCAGCATCTGTGACCCTGTCCTTGCTATAAGGTGGCCACATAAGGAGGGGGAAAGGGAATATGAAGGCAGGGCAAAGAGAAGCTCCCCTCTCTTCAAAGTTAAAGGCTCAGTTTCTAAGAAACAGCACTTCACTCTCTTACAGGAACTTAATGTCCCCCACAGGCTGGGCAGGTGCCTTCCACAGGAACGACAGGTTTCTCTTCAGGGACTTGTCAGAATGGGTGACTGCATCAGCCTCTTGAAAACAAGTCACCAGTTTGGAATGAGGAGGAATGAAAACAAAAGTCCCAGCGATTTGATGATCAGACACTCTTCGAGCCTGAAGGAGAAATCCCATGAAATCACGACTGCTTCTCACCGTCACTGCAACAAAAACACCCATTCAACATGAACATGTGTGACTTAGTTCCGTTTGGTGATTTTATGCAGTTTTTTTCAAAACTAAAAGCTTAAGATCAACCCCTAGAAAGTGAACAATTCATTACAGGGGGGGAAAGTTGAAGTCCTATTTCACACCAAAATAAATTCCATTTGGATCAAAGGTATGCGAAAATGAAATAAAATATAACTAGAAACATTTTTTCTTTTTATAAATACTGGATTTAGAAATACCCCTGTGAGCAAAACCCAGCTGCCATAAAGGAAAAGATGAGTAAAGTGTGTTAGTTATATTTTTTTAAATTTGAGTGTAGGTGAACTTAGGACAGATGATTAAAAAAAATCATTTTCCAAAGAAAAGTATTTGTAAGACATAAAGCAGACAAATAATCAGAGTCATGGTGAATCCATAAAAAGATGACACCCTCAAAATAATGAAAGGATACAAACAGAAAATAAAACAAGCTTAGTAATAATTTTTTTTTTTTTTTTTGAGACAGAGTCTCACTCTGTCGCCAGGCTGCAGTGCAGTGGCGCGATCCCAGCTTGCTACAACCTCTGCCTCCCAGGTTCAAGCGATTCTCCTGCCTCAGCCTCTCAAGTAGCTGGGAGTACAGGCACGCGCCACCACGCCCAGATAATTTTTGTATTTTTAGTAGAGACAGGGGTTTCATCATGTTGGCCAGGATGGTCTCGATCTCTTGACCTCGTGATGTGCCCTCCCCAGCCTCCCAAAGTGCTGGGATTACAGGCGTGAGCCACCACACCTGGCTGCTCAGTAATGTTTTTAAAGCAATTATAAATGAGATACTATTTTACACCTTTCATATTAGCAAATGTTAAAATGTGTGGTTGTAATCAGTCTTGATAAGACTATGGAAAAACTAGGGCATTCATTCACTAGTGCTGGGACTATAAACCATCCAACTTTTTGTGGTGTAACCTGACAACATTTTCCACATTTAAAATGCAATTACCCCTCTGATACATGCTACCTTATCAGTTAGCCCTGAAAACATAGTAAAATAAGCCAGACCGAAGATGACAAATATTGCATGATTCCGCTTCTGTGAGGCACCCAGAGCAGTCGGATTGACAGAGACAGAAAGAAGATTTAAAGTTGGCTGGGGCTGGGCACAGGGAAGGATGGCCAGTACAGAGTGTCCATCTGGGATGATGGAAAAGTTCTGGAAATGGATAGTGATGACGGCTGTACAACATTGTGAATGCACTTGATGCCACTGAGCTGTATACAGCTATAATGGTAAAGTTTATGATATATGTATATAAACACAATAAAAGAAATGCCCTCCAAAAATCATTACTCTTTGATCTAGAAATTTTGCAGTTAAGAATTTTCCCCACTGACAAATTTGAACAAATAAATATGGCAAACACTGATGTCCAATACTCAACAGCGATTGTCTGCTTATTCCCTGCTAGCAGAACAGATGGTTCTGCTAACAGAACCCAGATGCTACATTCATGTGGCAAGTGGAGACCACCTGTCTTCAGGGAAGTTAGGCTTCTCCTTTTCTCCAGCGGATGAACCATGATTAGACTGAAACCAGTGTTGGTGATTCTGTTCCCCTTCACCAGACAGAATTCTGGCCAATGAGGCCAAATCTGCTGAGAGAACAGCTAACGTCTAAGGATCAATCTTTTCACGTAAGGCCTTTATTCCAGCTGTCATCCCAGTGCGAGGCCTAAAACCACAGCACTCATCCTGAGCCTGTGCGACATCAAAGGAATGAAAACCCAACTTGCTGATGACGGCAGGAAAATGGAAAAATCTTAGGATCTCGATGATGTATTGAATGGCTTCACCCAATACAGAAACTGTGCCTCCAGACTTAAGAGAGAAAATTAAATGTTTTTACTCGTCAAGTTTCTGTTAATCATTTTTTCTGATACTTGCAGCTAAAACAATCCCGATGCATATGATGAGCAAAGACATATGAATAAAGATGTCCATCAAAACTGTTTATGAAAAAAATTTTAAAAAGTAAATTCCCATATACAAGAAACTGGTTAAATCAATCATGTGACCTCTAGACAATGGACTGTCATGAAATCATTAAAAGCAAGCTCTGTGGCTGGGCGCGGTAGCTCATGCCTGTAATCCCAGCACTTTGGGAGGCCGAGGCGGGCGGATCACAAGGTCAGGAGATCGAGACCACCCTGGCTAACACGTTGAAATCCCATCTCTACTAAAAATACAAAAAAAAAATATTAGCCAGGTGTGGTGGTGGGCACCTGTAGTGCCAGCTACTGGGGAGGCTGAGGCAGGAGAATGGCGTGAACCTGGGAGGCGGAGCTTGCAGTGAGCTGAGATCGCGCCACTGCACTCCAGCCTGGGCGACAGAGCGAGACTCTGTCTCAAAAAAAAAAAAAAAAAAAAAAAAACCTAAGCTCTGTATCCAATAAAAGATATCAATCTGATTGTTAGGTAAAAAAATATAAACATTACACAGACATTTAATTTGTGTCTGCTTAAGATTATATTAATTTGAGATCTCACTCACATATGCTTATATGCATGGAAAACTTCTGAAAAGAGGTGCAAGAAACTTAACAAGAGTTACCTCTGGAGAATCAAATTGAGTGTTCAGAGCAAGAGAAGGAAAAGTACTTTTAATTTTCTACCTTTTGATACTATTCTAACATTTTTAAAGCATGTAATATCTTTAAGCTATTTAAAAATTTTTTTAAAAAATTAGCCACTCATGTTCAAGGGAATGAGTGGCTAAAACCAGGGTCAGACCTTTACAAATTTGCTAAATGCAGCTTGGTGTCTAGGATTGTTTTATTTTCCACACATTTGAACTTTTATTAATACACATTTGAACAAATATTTAGAACTATTGAACACCAGGCACTATGCTAGGTGTTGAGTATATATCTATGAGCAGGATATCATGGCCCTTACCTTCAAGGAGCTCACAGATCCCGGTAAGAAAACAGTATACTTACAACATAAGTGAGTAATAGCTGACTCTCACTGAATCCATGAGGCGCTCCCTTAAGTTATTTATTACATATGCTGTCTTGGTTCCAGTTACAATCCAATTATGTTTCCCTCAGGATACCTTCAGAATTTAGGGATCACAATATTTGTAGTTATTTCCGCAGATTTTTCTCCCTGACATAGCGGTTTTTTCGTTTTGGGTTTTGTTTGTTTGTTTTTGAGACAGAGTCTCACTTTGTCACTGTCACCCAGGCTGGAGTGCAGTTGTGCTATCTCAGTTCACTGCAACCTCTGCCTCCCAGGCTCAAGCAATCCTCCCACCTCAGCCTCTAGCATAGCTGGGACCACAGGGTGCAAGCCACCATGCCTGGCTAACTTCTGTATTTTTTTTTTGTAGAGATGGGGTTTTGCCATGTTGCCCAGGCTGGTCTCAAACTCCTGAGCTCAAGTGATCCACCCACCTTGGCCTCCCAAAGTGCTAGGATTACAGGCACGAGCCACCAAGCCTAGCTGACATAGTGTTTTGATTCTTACCATTGTTATTACCCTAGCCACAGAACACTAGGATACTGACATACTAATCCCTTCATGCTGGGAGGGGCTGGATGCATACTAGGGTGGTTGGAGACCCCAAAGAAGTGGCCTTCCTTGGGGAACCTCTTGCATTTGCCCCGGGGTGCTACATACACACTCGCTTTCTGTGTCGTGATGCGACAAAGTTTGGGAAGCTCTGTTACAATAGCCTTAATTCAGTATATTGGGGAGTATATTGATGTTCAACTCATGTACTATTCACCCATGTTTTTTCACACTTCTCAACAGAATGAAACGAATGGATAAAACAATATTTATAGAGTAAATTTCATTTTTGTTTGTCACCTTTAGTTCCCGTCAAAAGAATCAGTAGAAATCAAGGGGGGTTTAGGGCAAAAGTTGCTGATGGAGCTCGCCTTGGGTGCGTAGTTTTCTGCCTACACTTAGTGGCATCTGAAGCATCTGTAGCTTCCTCCTCTGTTGTCCCTCACTGCCACTTCCAAGCTTGGTCCAAGGTAAGCTATGGACTCTGAAGAGTGTGTGTGAGTTTGGGGAGTGGGGGTGGGCATGGAAGTAGAAACACCCCTGGGAGGGCAACCCAAAACTGATAAGTGCCCTGCCCCTGCATCCTCCTGAGAGATGATTCAGAGGCGTTTCACATGGCTTCTCAGAGGGTCCCCACCGGAATGCACCTCGGGTGCCCACAGCAGTGACCTGCTCAGTTGCACGCCCTTGATTATCGTCTCCTCTTGCCCAGCTCCCTTTCCCTCTTCCTCACTTGTGTTTCCTGGGATGATCTCTCACATAAACCACCTGCGCTTACGTTCTTTCCCTGCTTTTATAGGCACCTAAACTAAAAGAGCAGGAAATGATTTTTTCATCCCCTAATATTTTAATTTAAAAAAATATCAAATTGTATATATTTAAAGTGTACAACATGATGTTTTGATATACTTACTCATAGTGAAATGGTTACTAGAGTCAAGCAAATTAAAATATCCATCTTCTCACCAAAGTGTCTGTTGATGGATGAATTTTAGTTTTAAATAATGAGAAAAAAGTATATTTCACACACATAGATGATATATGAAGGTTGTGCAGAGTAACTATATTTGTGTCCATAATAAGATACATTTATATCTTATTATAAGGACAAAATAATTTTCTGTAATAATGATATTTGTGCCTTCTTATACAGATCATAATCAATGCAGAGTTTAGTTATGTGGCTTTTATGACACAAATATTTTATGCTTATTTTTAAGCTGATAATTGCTTCTTAAGATTAAGCCAGGCTGGGCATGGTGGTCTGTGCCTACAATCCCAGCACTTTGGGAGGCTGAATCAGGAGGTTCACTTGAGCCCAGGAGTTCGAGACCAGACTGGGCAACATACCAAGACTCTGTCTCTAAAAAAAAAAAAAAATACAAAAAATTAGCATGGCACAGTGGCATGTGCCTGTAGTCCCATATTCTTGGGAGCCTGAGGTGGGAGGACCACTTGAGCCCAGGAGTTCCAGACCAGCCTGGGCAACATAGTGAGACTCCATCTCTACAAAAAAAAAAAAAGGATTAGGTCAAATTTAGTCCAGGAAGCTTCTGACTGGGACAAACACAAACTGGAAGATCCGTGGGGGCTCTGGGGCTCCTCGGAGTCTCTCAAAGCCTCTCCGGTACATACCTGGAATCTTGTCACCTGGTGCATAGGAAGACCTGCGGGTGTGGATGGTGACGTGGTGGGTGTCCTGGTGCTGAGGCTGGGCTTGAATGTGCTTGGGCTGCATGTCCTCACAGGCCACCGTGCTGGCACCATGGGAAAAGGCAGATGAGCAGGAAACCAGGCAGAGGGTGGTGCAAGCCCAGCCCACGAGGGCAGTCCGCATCCTCATCCTGCCCTCTCCTGTATTATGACACACAGCAGCTTCAGTCCAGATGCTATTGAGGAAAATGACATAAAGTCTTCTTGGGATGTGACTAACCTGAACCCCACACTGCCTCTGTACCCGAGATGCTTTTAGTGCAGCCTCCCAGGATGGCTAATGCTCAAGGCCAAGATCAAAAAGAAATGCCAGGCTAAAGGAAGTGTTTCATTTCCAAACACCTTTTTAAAAACTTCTATTCTTATAATTTTCTCGTAAGACCAGACTGCTTTTATGTTATTGTTGTTCAAAAGAGAGGCTTTAATTATGGAGTCAAAGAAATAAAACCAGAAAATGTTTGTATCCTAGAGTGAGCTCCTTACAAGCTGACTGGTACCCAAGGGCAGCGTGAGCTCTGATACATTATTGCTGAAGTAGACTCCCAATATACCACTATAGTCAGGAGGCATGGCATGGGGTGGCTTGGCTGAGCATCTTATCTCTGTTACAACTGAAAATTACCAAGCTAAGTGCTACAAAACGTCTACCAACTATCAATTATTTAGAGGTGACTGTTAAGTTGGCAATGCTTTGATATCTCTTTGTCCTTTCTTTGGCTGTTTTTAGCTATATCTTAGTAAAGAAGATGAGCAGAGAAAGAAATACTCAATTTATTCTATACCTCCTTAAACATACTGATAAAAATGTTGGCTCAGGAATAGAATAAAATGATTCAATAAAATAGCATTTATAGAGTAAATTTTACTTTTGTTTACTACCTCTAATTCCCATCAAGAGGAAGAATTAAAATTTGGCAATGTAAAAGAAGTTGACAAAAATAAAATGAGAGATAGCAAACAAGGCAGATGAATGCCTACATAAATATTTAGGATTATCACAGGCATTTTTTAACAGTGCTGTTTTAGGCTGGGTGTGATGGTTCACGCCTGTAATCCTAGCACTTTGGGAGGCCGAGGCGGGTGGACTGCCTGAGCACAGGAGTTCAAGACCAGCCTGGGCAATAAGGTGAAACCCTGTCTCTACTAAAATACAAAAAACTAGCTGGGCATGGTGGCATGTGCCTGTAGCCACAACTACTCGGGAGGCTGAGGCAGAAGAATTGCTTGAACCTGGGAGACGGAGGTTGCAGTGAGCTGAGATCGTGCCATTGCACTCCAGTCTGGGCAACAGAGCAAGATTCCATTTCCAAAAACAACAACAACAACAACAACAACAACAAAACCAGTTGTTTCTGGGTTTTTTTTTATAGTCCTGTACATAGGCATTTTAGAAGTTTGGCTAATATTTTGATCTAAGGAGCAATGCAAGGCAAAAAAAAAAAAAAAAAAAAAATGACCTCCCCTGTAGTCAGCTGGTTTTAAAAGGTAAAATTTAATCTTGAAAATGTAGTGAAACTAGCTATCAAAACCATAGACTAAGGAAATAATCCATAAACCAAATAATCAAGTATCCTCCACTCCTATTGTCTCTTCACACACAACCACCTTTTACATTCACAAGCTAAAAGAAGACAGGAATATGATCTATACCTCAAATTTCTTAGATTTAAGAGTCCTTCAGACAATGCCTTTCTTTTCTAAGTTTGTTTTCTATGAAGCACCAAAGTCACACATCTCCATACTACAGGGAACCATTGCTAGGGCTTCTCAGACACATTAGGAGATAATGAAGATGAACTGTAAAAGCATTTTCTCAGTCAAGGGGTTCAGGGCCCTTCTCATTTTCTTTCACAAGGGCCACATAGAAAATGCCCGTCGAATGTTGGGCATGGTGGTGCGCACCTATAGTTCCAGTTGCTCGGGAGGCTGAGGCAGGAGGATCACTTGAATCCAGGAGGTTGAGGCTGCAGTGAGCTATAATCACATCACTACACTCCGGCCTGGGCACAGAGCAAGACCCTGTCTCTGAAAAGAAGAGAAAGAAATGAAATGAAAATGCTCCTCAAGCCCTTGCTGATGGCAAGTGGTCTACTTTCCAAAGGCAGATCAGACACAGGTGCCTACAAGGGAAGGGGAGTGAGTGCCTCGTCTTGCAGACTGCAGCCACAGCCCCACCTCCCACCCTCCTGCCTTAGGTTTCACCGTGTCCTCTTTCCCACCAGCATCTTGTCTACCTGAATGCTGAAGAACATCCACTTGGAGCTGAGCACAGTGGCTCACACCTGTAATCCCAGCATTTTGGGAGGGTGAGGCAGGAAGATCACTTGAAGCCAGAAGTTCAAAACCAGCCTGTGCATCATAGGGAGACCCCGTCTCTACAAAAATAAATAAAAAGAAAACATCCACTTACCTAGGAACACACTTTTCTTTAGGCTTGATAGAATGGCTTCCTCCCTCAGAGTTGCAAACACATCCCTTACACAAAAGTATTTTCTTCTCCTTTCAGTTTTTCCTCTAATGGGGAGAGTAACAGCTGTTACCACTAATCCTCAGCATCTCCAGGAACTGTCCCTCAGTGTCCAAATCCAGCCTAAATCGTATTAGCACACACGCGCACACAAACACACGGTTTACAGTCGCATCATTGTTCAAACCTGTGTGAAGAACAAGAAAGAACCGGAACTGGTTTTGCATAGGACTAACACTGACATCCTTGGCAGAAGCCAGATGCCTCCATCTTGATCTCCCTGCCAAGGGGAGAATGTTTGAATGAAATGCGTCTTGGCATTCTTGGTTTCTTGAGTCAGTGTGGACTGAAGTTACTCTTGGTGAAGTAGAATTGATATGTTAGCCCAAGAGCAACGTTTGGTACAAAAAAATAACACATGGCATAGGCACCTCCTGTATCAACTGCCTGAAAGCTGGAGTTCACATTTGCATGCATCTAAGAATCTGCTGAGACACCTGATAATACCACAGAGCCTATAGATCAGTGGTCCTCAAAGTGTGGTCCCCAGAGTGCAACACCAGCATCACCTAGAAGCTTGCAACATCAACAGTGAAGATAAAGAAAGAGGAATGGAGATCAGGAGATCAGGTGGAGGTAGGATTTGGTGGCTGTTTGAATGCAAGGTATCTGAGAGAATCCTAGGATTGATAGTCCTGGGTGATGCGGAGTAGGGGGCTTCAGAGAGAGCAATGTCCTGACTGTTAGGCCTTGTCTCCACTCAGAAAAGCCTAAAGATATGAGTGACTGAATAGGCAAGGCACTGGCTTAGGGACCAGGTTGCTAAGCCTTTCGTTGCAAGTGTAGATGAGACTATCTATCCTACAAACACCAAGGGAAAGTGGGCTTCCTTGGCCTAGGACTCCAGTATTCCCTACACCCAGAACAAAATAAAACAAATTCAGTCTGGTTTCTCTAAGCCTCTATCCCACTAGGATGGAGGAAATCTCAATCTCCCACTGAGTCATGAGAAATTCTGGGAGGTCTAGAAAATTAGGGTACGTTCCTTCCATGGCTGCTGTTATGATAGTTTTCAGAGCTCATATGGTCACTTGAAGACTGTTAGTTGGAAGGCTTCTATGCAAAAAACGGGCTCAGGTCTTCAGCAAGGCTGTGGCCTGGGTGCTGAGAGCTCAGCCTCCCAGGTGCACCCTGTGGCCTTCCCCTGCTGAGGTTCTTCCCACTCCCTCCACTGGGTCCTGACACAGATCTCTGCCCCTAGCAGGAGAGTGGCTAACCTCTTCTCCACTCCCCTCTGCTCCTGTCCCAGTCTTAGAGACAAAAGTGTCCCTCTTCTCCTTTTTTTTAAACCTCACCCCTTTACCTTGGGTCACTTGGCATAATCCACCTACCACAGATAGAGGGGTAATCTCCAACACCTCTGCTTTGGCCCTGAACCACAAACTCCCCAGATACAGGGATTCTCAAAAGGCCCAACTACCAATTAGAATGAGGAGGGGAGTGCAAAGGTAGAGAGAGTGCACCTATGTGGCTCAATAAATAATCCTGTCATTTGCTCATTGTAATATTTCTTGTTGAAAACAGGAGGACACCTTATCTTAGACATGGCCTTATCCTGCCTGCCACACCCACAGCCTCTGCTGAGCCAGCAGCCCATCTTATGCCACCCTCCCCACAAAGCTGATTGTACCAGGGTGGGTACTCATCACAGAGGAGGGCTCTGCTGACTCAGGGCTGAGCCAGAAACTCTCCCTGGGAATCTGACCGAGAACACATAGAAGGCTACTCTATACCAGCGCTGGTCAACAGAAATAGAATGCAAGTCACACAAGCAATTTAAAATTTTCTAGGCCGGGCAGAGTGGCTCATGCCTGTAATTCCAGCACTTTGGGAGGCTGAGATGGGCAGATCACCTGAGGTCAGGGGTTCAAGACCAGCCTGGCCAACATGGTGAAACCCCATCTCTACCAAAAAATACAAAACTTAGCTAGTCATGGTGGCACATGCCTGTAGTTCTAGGTAGTCGGGAGGTTAAGGCAGGAAAATTGCTTGAACCTGGGAGGTGGAGGTTGCAGTGAGCTGAGATTGTGCCATTGCACTCCAGCCTGGGCGACAGAGTGAGACCCTATCTCTAAAACAAACACAACAAAAAAAACTGGACTAGCCTTATTTTTAAAAAACATGAAATAGAACAAATGACATTCGCTTTAATAATAAATTTAGTCAATTCAATATATTGAAAACATTTCACATGCAATCAGCATATAAAAACTCATTAGTGAGATATTTTGCATTCTTTTTTCACAGTGAGTCTTTGATATCCAGTGGTATTTTACACTTACAGCACGTCTCAATTCAGACTAGACACATCTCCAGTGCTCAGGAGCCACATGTGGTAAGCTGCTACCATATCTATATGAAGGAAGGTGGTTGAGCCACAGGTTGTGGTGTGGGCTCAGACCTGAGGGCCATATTGTACACGTGCAGGATGTGTAAGAGGCACTGAGGGGATAGGATGGTAATTAAACATAACAGCATATTTGTATAGTGCTTGCATAGTACCATACACTATTCTAGTCAGCTAGTTGGCAAATTACCTCATCGACACAGCAACACAATGAGGTCTGCACGATTATTATCTCATTTTATTGATAAGGAAACTGAGTCACAGTGTTTCTGTAATTTGCCAAAAGTTCCCACAGCATTC